GAGTAAAAAGACAAGTTTACAGGCATTTAGAAAAGCGTACATATGCCCCACTTTCTTACACAAGAACACGGGAGCTTTTCAATAAACTATGAAAAAAGGTCAACAAGGAAGTGTGACATTTAGTAAACGCACGCCCCTAATAACTCTTATAGTATAGTATTAGATAGTCGTAAATTAAGATTTCATTCATAAAGGTCAGGTGGGGCAACATTTTGTACACTTAATAGACTTTGGAAAAAAATATGGAGGTTGGCGTTCAGAGACAGCTAATGATGGATATGCTAAAAGCACCTTGAAAGAATTTTAGTTTTATGATGAACGAACAAATCTTTTGTCTTACGGCGCCGGAAAAGTAAAGATCATTTTGGCTCATCTCGGATGTTACAAACTTAAAGCAACACCAGAGGTCAAAAGCATCTCACCTACTGGAGCTAGAATAGGAATGCTGAGTTGGATTAGAAAATTATATTAGCTAAAGCCTACCATAGGATGTAAATCTATCGGTTAGATATTATTTTATTGATGGGTTAAGATCGATTTATTTTAACACACCATATGGAGCGTAAAGTCGTGCTTAACACAATGTTATGAGAATATTTCTTAAAACCATGGCTAGCTATAAATATTCTTGTGGAGATTAACCCTTGATTATTATAGGTATTTAAATTGCCATCATCTTGGGACAAAAACAGAGTACGACAAGATGCTGTTTTTTCTTGCTTTCTTTCTTTGTGGAAGATTTGCTTGTCGGACTCCGACCACATAGACCCATATGTTGTAAATCATAGTCTTAATCTTTTGTAAAACAGTTCTTTCTAAGGTTTACCGATTATCTTGCCTTTCTCGCCGCCGAAGTAGCTTGCATGGGCCACAGTTTGGCCATAGTATGCTTGTGAAACATTTTTATGACACCTTATAAGGATTCTGTTTCTTTAAATCGTTTCTCTACTAAAAAAGACGTTTCATTAAAATTGAACTAATCTTTTAAAAATGATCCTTATTTTATCAAGATTTAACGCGTGATGATTTCACAACGACTTTTTTTAATCAAAACTTAATGTTGAATAGCTGTCAGGGTCAATCTTTAAAGTTAAAAAATGAATAGGTTCAGTTTTCAACATTTTAGAATAACCCATAGGGTAAATTTTTTACGGGTTCAAAATTTAATGTTACATCTTTAAAGCACTGAGAATAGTCGAGTACCTTGTCCAAAAAAATCTGCAAACAAAGTGATCCCTCGGAGGTATTAATCACAACAAAAATTGCAAGAGAATTGCAGACTCGGTTTGATTGAGTCTGTACATGAGGGATGATATTGAATACGTGCCTTACGCCTCCTAGCACCGGCTTGAGCGGTACTCAATTCTCAACACTTAATAGTGCTGGCATCAATTATCCCGAAGGACCAGAAAAATATAACAACACTTAAGTGCAGTACGGGGCAACTTTTTACAGCTGCCACACAGCATTTGACACCATAAAAATCTGGAAACAAAGTGATCCCTCGGAAGGAATAATCACAACAAAATTATAAGAGAATTGCAGACTCGGTTTGATTGAGTCTGTACATGAGGGATAATGAAATCGTGCAACATCCCTCACACCCCCGAAGGACCAGAAAAATATAACAACACTGAAGTAAAAGTACGGGGTAACTTTTTACAGCTGCCACACAGCACTTGACACCTGCTGTTGTGAAGTATAAACCTTTGTTACAAGATTTAACTCAGATTTTAACTCATTGTATAACCTTGTGCTAACCCTTTTTAGGTAATTTTTTTATGTATATATGACCACATTAATAGTAAATATGACAACATGTTTAAAGATTAGATAAAATTATATATTTATGAAGCTATTTCAATTCATTACTTATATCATGCTCGATAGTTCTGGAAAAAGTTTAACTATTATTCTAAATTATTGATAATTAAAAGTCACTGTACCTATTGGACTGTAGAAAAAGTAGGACTGGTGTTTCCTCATGGTTAACTTTCATTTCATTTGAAAAAAAATATCATCTGGATAGGGTTTTTCTTTTACATTAACATATATATCTTTAAAGTCATATTTAGTCTCAATCTAAATTCTTTCTCTGCAAGAAAATTGAACTTATTTTGAAAGTTGAAAATACCATAATGGTTTGGATCATGAACATTGTCATTGTTTATACATTGGTGGGAATCAGTTTTAGTACAGAATGGAAAACTTCAAAGGGAACAATTATGTTTAGGTTGACATATGTAACAGATATACCACATATGGATAACTTTGTCAGTTTCCGGCAAAATATTCCCTTACCAAAATGTAAATTTCTGTGTACGGATCTGAAATATCTACATCGAAAACAATGAAACGTGTCTTTGTAGCTCGGAAGTTTATGCTAATACTGAAATCAATGCAAACGCTGGTGTCATTTACGGAGTAAAGACAGCTAATGCTTCAATTGCTTATGTACAGGTAAGCTTTTTCTATTTGATTTATCAGTGCGTGCGTGCGTACGTGTGTGTGTGTGTGTAAATTTGTTTATACTCGGCGCCGGAATAACCATATGTCCGAGATTATGGCATCCTTGCCGGTCCATTACGGTAGTCACATTGGGGACGTCTTTTTCAAGCCGAATCTTCTAGTAGCCCGTTCTTTGTTCAGTGGTGGTAAAGGAGACGACAATACTGTCAAGGCATCAGCTTCCTGACCGACGATAACAAAAACGACATTCGTTAGCGCCAACCCTCCAGAGTTAGTCACGACAGGTCAACCAATCATCTCTGGTACTTAAGGTGACTTGACCTTGACCTGCCGCGTGCCTTCTTTGCGACGTGCACGCCTCTGGAGGGATTTGGACAAGAAATTAATCAGTTCACGTGTGTACAACACATATATCAGTTCTTCAATGACGTCATATCATTGTCACGTGTGATATAAACGACAAACAATAAATTCGCAAACTTAAAAACTAAGTTAAGTACTAACTTATGTCATGTGAAGAGTAATCCATTTTTTAATATATTTAGAAAATTTATATGTTATACCAATCTGATTATTAACTACGATTCCAGTTTAAATAACAGCCAATTATTGTATCAATGAATATTTAATTCCGAGCAAATTTCATGATTACGTTATACTTTATTATCTAAATTTAAATATGAAATTCAGAAGTGGTATACTGATATAAACAATTCTGGTCGCCTGCAAACTTATAGCATTTTTAAACATGATTTTAAATGTGAAAAGTATTTTGATTTAATTAAAGACAAAAATCATAGAATTGCTCTTACTAAATTTAGAACGTCATCACATAACTTATGTGTAGAATCTGGTCGATATGAAAATATACCAAGATCAGAAAGAATATGTAAATCTTGTTTAATGAGACAACCTGAAACAGAGTATCATTTTTTGTTAGTCTGTCCACGTTATAGAGAATTGAGGAAAAGGTTTTTTAAACCTTATTATTGTCACTGGCCGTCTGTTATAAAATTCGACAGCCTAATGTCTTGTAATTCTAAGAAAACTATATGTGCTTTATCTAAATTTATTTACTTAGCAAATAGACAACGTATTTCATAGTATCTCTTCTAGTAATATCTGAAAATGAAATATATTTGAACCATAATTTATTTTTTAAGATGTTTGCATTTGCATGTATATCTTTCAAAGGAACTGACTTGCAACAGTGAATATTACGTTTAGTATGTAGGACTTTAGTGTTCTTCATGTCTTTATATTTTAGAAAATGACAGAATAAGTTAAGTGCAAACTATTCAGGATATTGTAGGTTGGCGTCTGTTTATTTTAAACTTATGCATGCAAGTGCAACATATATATTAAACATGTAAAATATTGAATATTAAACATAATATTCTATGAATCATCCTATGTTTACTGGAAAATCTATGTTTTGATCTCCATATATTGTATATATTACAATTAATACTTGTTATAAAATTCGGTAGCCTAATGTCTTCTAATTCTAAGAAAACTATATGTGCTTTGTCTAAATTTATTTACTTAGCAAATAGACAACGTATTTCATAATATCTCTTCTAGTAATATTTGAAAATGAAATATATTCGAACCATAATTTATTGTTTAAGATGTTTGCGTTTGCATGTATATCTTTCAAAAGAACTGACTTGCAACAGTGAATATTACTTTTAGTCTAAAGGACTTTAGTGTTCTTCATGTCTTTATATTTTAGAAAATGATAGAATAAGTTAAGTGCAGACTATTCAGGATATTGTAGGTTGGCGTCTGTTTATTTTAAACTTAAGCATGCAAGCGCAACATATATATTAAACATGTTAAATATCATATTGAATATTGAACATAATTTCCATGAAACATCTTATGTTTGCTGGAAAAATCTATGTTTTGATCTCCAAACATTGTATATATTACAATTTATACTTGTTATAAGCATTGTATTATGCTTTATACAAATAAACTTTTCGTATTCGTATTCGTATAAAGAACGTAAAATTCACTCATTTTGGACACCAGTCAATCAACACACTAAATAGATTAAATTTTATAAAATCAGCTAAACATGTTACAAACATAATCATCATTATGACACGCGCTATTGAACAATTATCGTCTAGTTTGTGTTTTTACACGTCTGAAGGGAACATACGAAAGAAAACTATTACTCGAGATAAACAAAGGATAATAGTGTGAAAATAACTGTTGGGGCTAAAATTGTACATCGAGATACTGAAAATATCGAAATAAAAATATCGAGACAAACAAATATTTCCAATATAGATAAAGAAGGAAGAAAATCAAAATTTCATCGAGATAACGAAATATCGAGAAAAGCGATGTCGAGATAACGATAGTTGACTGTATAAAGAAACAAATAATTTCTCATATTGATGAATAATATTGAAGGAAATGATGTTTTATTGGGAGAATTGTATTTTATTTACTATATTCTTTATATGTATAAATTGTAATTTTTTCAGGGAGGCAATCAAAAAGTAAAAAGAGTACACAGGTAACCAGAGCTCGTTGATTGCCTTGCACTATATCAACAAGGTTATACCGAAGACGGTGTTTATGTGATTAAACCAACTGCACATTCTCTTACTGATGTATGGTGTGACATGTCAAATGATGGATGGACTATTATACAACGACGTCAAGACGGATCAGAAGATTTTTACAGAAATTGGGAAGAATATAAAAACGGATTTGGGAATACCACTGGAGAGTATTGGCTCGGACTAGAAGATATGCATTATTTAACAATTAACACAAGTTCACTTTATGTATACATGGAAACGTTTGAAAATGACAATGTTGATCCGGTTTCTGCCTATGCTGAATATTCAACCTTCAGAATTAATCATGAGAGTGATAAATACAGATTGTCGGTTGGAGGATATGGCGGCTCGTGTGGCGATTCCATGTCGAATCATAACAATAATCAATTCACAACAAAAGACAGTGATAATGATCAAAACGGCGACAGGAATTGTGCAGTGTCCTATAGCGGAGGTTGGTGGTACAGACATTGTCATCGTGCAAATCTGAATGGACTATATCTGGATGGAGCAGATACTGATTTCGGCCGAGGTATCAATTGGAAAATGTGCTGGGGTTATTATTACTCTCTCAAGAAATCTGTAATGAAGATTAGAAGAAACAATTAACACTTTAATTCGTTTCATTTGAAACCTTTAATTACACTAGTTTAAATTTAATTATTATAGAATATATTTTGTTGTTTGCACATGCTCCAAGAATTCTAAATGTATAGACTGACAATCCTTTTACAAAGTCGAAGATTGGTTGACTCTGTTTTGTCCAGATGACCAAAAGTGTGCATATCGACGACATGAAGAACGCTTTACCGACGATTACTTATTGACCGTCCTCATGTTGTCGGAATGTGACGATTGCTTTCATGGGAGGAATTTTAGGGAGACTGTACAAGGAAATGTCTACGTTAAAAGTGATAAATGCGAATCGAACTGTGGTAAAATATTGGAATTAAATCATCATATCTATTGCAGTCCAAATGTGCAACAGCAGCAAAGCCTAATCATCCATCATGGTTTTAACTAGATATTTGTCGAGCCTTTCTGGCAAAAATTGCCGTTAACCTACTTAAATGGTATCCGTATAGTCCAGATTTGTTCCAAATTGAAGTCTTTGACATAGGGTAAAGAGTCGTTCGAATCTCCTGCTTCACTTGACAAACCTCCAGCTATTTAGGGGGTGGGGAATAATATATAAATATAAGAAATATATACACTAATGAATGGTATGCATCCAATAATCAGGGTTGCGACACATACAGGTGGAGCATTTAACATACGATTTTATATTAGAAATAGGTTAGAATCTATTAATGTTTGGATAATTTGGTTTATGAAATATATCTTTTAAACTAATATTGACTATTGCATTGAGTTATAACTTCTGAAAGTATACCTTGTGTTTCTGTTTTTGGTTGTTATACATGTATAATTAATAGTTACCATATATAACAGTGTATAAAGCTATATATCTGATGAAAAAAATTATTGTTAATTTTTTTCAAAAAAAGAACGTGTTTTTTAAAGCGTCAATGAAACCGAGTCTACAATTTTATCTGATGTTCGAGTGTCTCCATTTCCAGATATTTCCAAATTAATGATTTATGAAACTGAACAAGAAATATTTTACTAGTAATTTATCGTGATTGAGTGTCTATGGATTATGTTTATATCTTAAACAGAAAATGTGACTGTGTAATATATCAGTTTATAACATTTTTGTAAGATAATAATAGGTTATTTCAAATGTTGTCATTTCGCATAATATCTTAGAAACTCTATACATAAATCATGTAATACATGTATATCTATTTTGTATATGTCTCTTGGCATTTAATGATTTTTTTTGCAAATATTCATGCCTTATTTCTGACGTCTTATTATAATGTTGTCATTTTTCATAATATGTTAAAAACTCTATACATACATCATGTAATACATGTATATCTATTATGTATATGTCTCTTGATTTTTTTGTTTTTGCAAATATTCATGCCTTATTTCTGACGTCTTATTAGATCCCATTCCAACCGTTTAGATAATGTTGATACCTAAGCTTACTATTTAATGCATCATCGTCTTAGAATCGGCGTTTTGTGTTTATCATGAATATCAATGGCACTCAAATAACGAAAACATCGTTACTTACTCAATACCACATGACATTGTTCTAGCGCATTTTTTTTTGTTAATTTTTTTATACGTTTTAATATTCGTTCGGATTAAAGGTCCATTTTGTCCATAATATGCTTTCATTTTTATTTCTCAAAAGCTTTTTTTTTTTTTGTTATCTTATAGTTTCTAAAAAGGCTTAAAAAGGGTACTCAATGTTTGATCTTTTTAAATGTGCCTTTAAGATAAAGATCTTATCAATCATTCCTTGTAAGCACATTTTTATCATTTAGAACATCAAATTTTTAAACAAGGAGAGACATTATCTCCCATGCTATTTATCCTATTTTCTAAATAATATTGAAAAATGAATATATCTTAACAAATATCGAATTGCGACATTGAGCTCTTGTCTAAAAATTTCAGAATGTTATCAAACTTTTTGTACATTATTTCAAAATGCTTATTACCATTGATTGCAGTGTTTTCCCTTTTCTTCTAAGACTTGTTATTATTGTATAAAAGAAAAAAATTGAGTTGAATATTTTTACTCCCATGGCTATCATAAATTATCGCATGGTTTGGAATAACTAACCCATGATACTCTGTACACTTCAATGAGCATTTGAAAACTGTATTGATATATAGCAGTACATTTTTTTCACTGATTCATATAGGGTTATATATCGGTTTTTTTCGCACCTTATATATATATGAAGTTTTTTTCATAGAGGCTCCAATGGAGCAGTGGTAACGACCATTCCCAGTAGCAAATAAAAAATAAAACAATGGAATCAATAAAATAAAATGAAATAAATATATAAATACAATGAAAAATATAAACAAAGATATTAATGAAATGAAATTTACTCGCATTTAATCAAAAGGTAATCTGCTGAATGAATTATTACCACTGAAAAAAGCCCTTTAATCTTGAATCAATCTTGATGACAGTTTACAATCCGCCTTTAACATTGGATGTCTTTTGTTTAAAAAATTGCGGCAGCGAAAGCAACTTGAAAAAACTGCCTTATCATAAATAACTGTAATGTAGCTAACGAATTATTTATTTATTTATTTATTTGTATTTCTATTACAAAAAAAAGAAAACATTATGTCATTGCGATAAAACAGTTATAGTATATGAAACTCGTTAGTTACGGAGGTATAACGCTGGCTGGGGCGACATCTCGGAATGTTTCTGAAAAAAAAATTCTCGGCCTTTTGGCCTCGCCATTTTTTAGCAGAAACACCCCTTGATGTCGCCCCAGCCAGTGTTATATCCTCGTAACTAACTCGTTTCATGTACTTTATCTATTACGTAAAACATTCAATAAGTACACTATATAGCAGTCATTTTGAAATATCGATTTTGGTACTTTGAATTTGCGGCCTTTATTGTAAAATTATAAGGTTCGTTTTACAAATCATTAGAAAATAGAGACTCAATGTTAATACTGGAAATGGTTAATAATTTATAGACCAAACATTGATTTTGTAATTCATCTTTTGCTGTTAAATATGTGTCCAGAACAGACAAAGACTTGTGTGACTGGTTTTACGCTAACATTTACATATTATATTTCATATTTATAGAAGAAAAATAATAAAAATGAAGAGAGAAAATAAGTTCAGCATTTAATAATATCAAAGGTATTGCAGGTATATATACATGTACAAAGCTTTTACTATTGCTATGGTGTTGTTACAAAAACACATAAAGCAAGAAGACAGCAATTCAATTTATACATTTCATATTTCAATCAATGGAACGAAACTCATTGGGAAGTTACGTAAAATATAAAATATCATATTTATTAGCATACTTATGAATACACAAAATGATTGAATAAAAATGTTTGGTTGTTCAAAAGTAAACAAAATATAATCAAAATACCACTTGAGATCATTTTGTGACAACATTGTGATTAAAATTTACAACACAATTCTTGGTATATGATTTGAATAAATGTTTGGTAATTCAGAAGAAGTGTCATAAGAATATTTTTCAAGTTTCAAATTTTACTCTTGTTTGCAAAGCGATACAGAATTTTTCAGCTCACAGAAATCTTTGTATCTCTGATATATATTTTCTCATCAATGTATTGTTTTTATTATGTTATTATATCACAGTTTAAAATTGTGTATTGACGGCAGCGGAAAAGATTATGCACGTTATTTCATCCGAAAGTGTGTTTCCTTCTCTGTCTTATATCGTGCATGTGTAAATCTCGAATTGAACCAGGGAAAATCGAAAGTTTCAATTTCCGTTGCTGTTGAGTCACCAGTGAAGTATCATGAACATTGGGAATTCCTTCTGTGTTGTAATTTTCCAGTTGTTTTGTCTGCTGAATAAGTTAATATTTGAGAAAGAAATCTTTGAGTTTGATCTAAAGATATTCTTAGATTTCCTCCAATGTCACTCAATATTCTCAGTTGTTACCAGTCAATGTTGAACTAACTAGATCTATATTATTTAGATTCAATAATGATATTTCGCAGTTTCCTTATCACAATTTACATGGAATTATATTTTGTAAACCCGTTGTGGTAGGAAATTTTTAACTTTAAATGTGTTTTTCTTTTTCCCCGCAGGTAATTGTGTATGTATTGTCCATTTGTTTACATCTTTTTATATGTCCTTTTTACCATGGTATGTCAACTTATGTGGCTCTTGGGCCAAGTTTAACATATTTTGGCCTTATATCTACTGTCGATCCACCGAGCTGGCTTTTCTATGTAACTAGTATGCAAAGTGATAATGACATTGAAGGATAGAAATTACCTGTACGAAATTTTGGCACGGATTCTGGGCGGAATTGGCACGGAATTGACACGGAATCAGTGATTTCTGGGCGGACCAGGAACGGAAACGCAAATTCCGTGTCATTCCGTCTCACAAGAAAAATATTTTGTTCACTTTTCTGGGCGGAAAACTAGAAAAATTCCGGCTGGAATTTTATTTGGAGCAGAATTTATACTTAAACATTTCATCTTGGACAGAATTTTCAACTTTGAAATTTTCTTGGGAAGGAATGGTCTTCACTATGAGTGGAATTCTATACTTAAACATTTTTCTTGAACAGAATTTCACATATAAGATGTCTAAATCATAATTGTTAACTCTTGTTTTTGCACTTGCAGACATTGAAATTTTACCAACTGTACTTATTATTTTTGTTGAAGCATGATACTTGACCAATAATTACAGGTGTTTTTTTTAGAATAAATAGGGTTATTTTTTAGACATTACAATATGCCTAAACAATGTTTTTAAATATTGTGGCAAATGATATATTGTCAGACTAATTTAGCAAATCTTTTTTGTACTGAAAAACAACTGTAATAAATCTTAGTGTAGAACTTGAAAACATTCACCTCCAAAATGCTTAAGTTTATAAAAAGCAACATTGAAATAAGAATGCTGTTTAAATTTGAATATCAGGACAGCCACAGGACAAGATAGTGTGCTTGCCATTTTAAACTCTAAGAAATCATGATTTTGTTATAAAAAATAAACAAAAACAAAAACATTGCATGAAATAATCTTATATAGTATGCCCTTTTAATCTATATAGAATTGATCAGCCAATATGCCCAATAATTGCTTTCATTTAGGTTAATAAATACTACAATATATATCCACTGAGATTTTACACTACACAGATCAGAGCTCTGATAAAACTCAACTGACCAGCAGTTTCCCACCATCTTAAATTCTTTGCATGACTAATTTACTCCACTGGTCATTCCAACAGATCAGGCTGTTCCATTGAATTATTTTGGGGAGAGATAACATTATAAATTTCATATGCAGAATTTGTGAAGGACATTGCAATTTTTTTTTGTTCAGAAATTTGTAATGATTTTTAAATTCTATATATATATCTATTTGTTACTTGAATTTTTGTTACATTCAATGAATGGAGGTTGAGTAAATTAACCCTGTTTTACATAATGATTGACCTGTCCATGCAGTTATACAGTTGTGAATTTTGAATTCTAAGATATCTGGGTCAGCAAAAAGAGTGCAAATAACAGAGTTTAACATTTTTGGAGATATACTTTTGTTTAAGATCTCAAAGTGTTTTAGTATTGGTATGATAAATAAGTGTGAAAACATGGGACAAGGAGATGAACCAGACACATAATCAGGTAATTATAAACCTTTAGTTACATTAATGCTGAAACAAGTTTTATATCAAACTATCAATGGTAGCAAACTAAAATTTGTAACACTGAGAGGTCAATGTTGTTTTTATATTTTCAACTTCATACATTTGTTTTTTTTTTCTGATAATTGTTTTATATCTTTATTACATGTTTAATGACTGTAAAATATAAATTATTCAATGATTCTATATAATGATTGTGTGTATTGTATAAATTAATAGCATGTAGTAGATCTTTTTCATTTCCTGGAAATTAAACAAATTAAGTCAATTTGATTAAATAGGAATAAATGGTACAAATTCAGAAGTTTTGTACAGCTGAACAAGGTCATCATAATCATTTATTATTTTACATGTATGTGAACGTGTTTCCAATGGAACAATCTAAAATTACATTTTACACTCATAATTTCAGACTGGGAGTTAAGTGCTGACTGTGAGATGCAAGGTGTTTCAATAAAGATGTGCAGTATTAATTCTGAAAAGGTATATTTTTAAATCTCAATACTTTACTATTCAACATCTTTCCTTCAAAAAATACATAACCAGTAATAAATAGTGTCACAAATAAAGCAGTTAATTAATTCTTATACAGAGCAATTCTTAAACACTTGTGCACTGAAATATGATACTGCGTAAGCTTTAGTTTTTTTGAATATGCATAAGCACTGTTAATATTTAATACTGTTGAAACATAAAATTTGATATTATCAAAAAACATGAAATATAACTGCATATAATTATGCAATCAAACATAATTCATTACTACATTTTTGTTTAATTGATTATTAATCTTATTATTAAAGGTGAGCACAACCACAAGAAGTTCTTGGAAACACAGGCAGTGGACTTAAAACAGACATCAATTAAAGAAATAGTAATTTAAATAATCAGAAACATTTAAAACAAATTTATGATTGAAACACTCTCAGCAAAAAAAAATTGCAAAAAAACAAAGTGTTGGATTCTAAGAAAACCAGTACCTACCAAAACCTGCAGGTAGAAAAAAACTGTTTGTGTTATAGTGAATGTATGGTATTCTATTCTGTATATGGACTAAAGGATATGTATTAAATTTTGTGAAAGAAAATTTAATGTGAAACATTATTGATAATTTTATCCCAAAAAAATGTGATAATGTTAAACTCATAAAAATTCCGCCCCCATGAATTCTGTCCGAGAATTCCGCCCAGAATTTTGTTTGACAATTCCGTTCCAAAATTCCGTTCCGAAATTCCGCCCCGAGATTCCGCTTCAAAATTTCGCCCAAAGATTCCGCTTCAAAATTCCGCCCCAAGATTCCGCTTCAAAATTCCGCCCCAACTCATTTGCATATTTCGTCCCAATTCCGCCCAGAATCCGTCCCGTTTCCGCCTGGAATCCGGCCGGAATCCGTGCCAAAAGCAAATGGTTGAACACTTGTATATTTAGGGGAGAATTTAAATTTCTGGGCGGAATCTGCCATTGAATTCCGCCTCATTTCCGTGCAGAAAATTTCGTACAGGAAAAGATAATGAATGATTTAAAGTGCTAGAGCAGATATGAGAATCACAATGAAAACTGCTGACTTTGTGATCAGATAGTAATATATCCATACGCATCTTGAATTCTTAAGGCTGAAAAAAGTATATGAGAATCTATTAAATATGTATAACCTTTAAGTGCTTAGAAGGGTTTACAAGATTGTCTACGAGATTGTTTCCAAGAAGGATCATAACGGCATGACAATGAGCTGAAATGTTACGTAAAAAGTCGACAAGAATAATTTTGACCATTGAAATAAACGCTATATATTTAAAAGGTCCAAACAGAGATGTATAACCTGTTTTTGTTTTTTGTGTACTTCATTTGTTAAAATGTTTTGGATTTTTACTAATGTCGAAAAGGAAGTCTAGATATAAGAACTAAAATCCATTGTTGTCAGTGCAAGAAATGAGAATTAATATTAGTTCAACATGATAATTTATTATGAGTCTAATATAAGGACCTGCTCTAAGTTAACAATCAAATACTGTATCGGGATATATTTGTGATATTTGTTGTTTTTTTTTTCACTTATATTCGCGGATTGAATAAAATATTTCCGTATTTTTTATACATTTTGTCTGAAATTTCAGGACGATTACCGAGGTCGTGGAGATACAAAATCCTACTTAACGGTAATCCTACAACAAGTTCCGTTGAAAAAAATAATATTAGCATCAAATAGCATTTAATAGACGTCAATTTGTATACGATTCTATATTATGTTGTACGTATATACTGAGACATTATAAATATTAGTGAAGACTATGGTGATTTATATGGTCAGCCAACATAACAAATTGGGACTTACCAATTTGAAGATAAAATAGGTGCTATGAAATTAGTTGCCTTATCTGAAATGTATAAAAATCGACGTGTTTATTCACTCTTATGCTTTCACCTTATTTACTTTTTTAATTATTTGAATATAGATGCACAAAATGTGCTCTTGAATCATGCATTAGATGCACACACACGCGTCACGTCTGTGAGAAATGTGACACGTGTGAGTTATACTCAGTGCTTAACACATTTCAAATGCAATACTCAACATGCCAATGTCATGGTGTACAAAAGAAGATTCTCCTTATGTTCCATGTATAATGTTTCCGAAGAATTGGTATATAGACACGAACCTGGTTCAGTGCTGGCACACACCACTCTAATTGGTAAGTTCGGCACCATACATGTATACATGTATAATAAGAAAAAGGTAATGTTCTGCCTTATTATTTCAACAATAATTTTGGTGGCTTTGTTTTATTTGACCCTTTTTATTATAGAAATTTGAAATAATTAATTTAAATTATGTTAAGATGATAGCAAGAATTTATTCGTTCTCGATAATTGATTAATAGGAAATTGATAGAAATAATACGTTTCAAATTTAGCAACTTATAAGCTTCAAACAAGATGGCAGATAATGCAGTCGCGTGAAATTTTTGCTTCTTTTGGCTTGTATTTTTATGTAAGTTGTGAGATGGGATATGTGTATAGTAAAAAGGTACCTTTAAACGTGTATCTTTAGGAATACTGCATAATTTAAATACATAGTAGGTCGAACATAATCAAATAATATCTGATTTTAAACTGTCTGTTCGAAATCAATTACAGAAAGATGAAAAAGTATTCGTGATTTGGCGGCCATACTGGATTTTCTGTCTTTTACATACATAACTTCAAACTTGATTTTAACATTAACTGAACGAGTAAACTAACCTTTAAACTAGGTTTACTAACCTTAATGCTTAGTTAAATGCCCTTTGAACCTTATAACCTGCATCATTCTCCGTGGTATAGACTTGTACAGGCTCTGAACATAGGCGGGTGTAATCTCTTGCCAGATCCGGAAAAAAACGTCAAATAATATCTGCTCAATGTACTGTTTGAAAGTTTCCGTTTAATATATAACCAGATATTTTCAAATATGTTTAAATCAGGTGATTGTGCTGGCCAAAACATAGATTTTATACCGTTTCTGGTCTTATAAAGATTGACACTGCGTGCACGATGAACAGGTGCGTTGTCGTCCTGAAATGTGTAAGAGTTATCGGGGAAATGACGAGCAATAACTGGCCAAAGATTTTCTTCTAAAATTTCCTCGTATTTTTGAGCATTAATGTTACCACTGACTTTCGCTAGAGTACCAACACCTTGCCAAGTGACACACCCCCATATCATCACTTTGATCACCTTCTTGTTATTGGAAGATTTCGGAGTCAATAAATCAGGTCTATACCCTTCGTCACGCTTCCTCCATATCAAAACTCTATTGTCACTGCCTATTACAACTTGACTTTCATCAGAAAATATCACACGATCCCATTCACCTTCTACTTTAGACCTTCTTTTTTCTCTACACCAAGAAAGGCGCTTTGCTCTATTCACCTTTGACACAATAACTCTTTTCTTATTCACTCTTTTAGAAAATCCATGTTTATGTAAATGATTTTGAACAGTTCTCTTACAAACTGGCTTTGCTCTCCCCTCATTAAATTTACTCGTTATGCCCGACGATTGCACTTCACAGTCCTTTCAAGATGGCGATAATCTCTGTCTCTCACTAATCGAGGTCGGCCCGGTTTTTGTAAATTTTCCACTGATCCTGATGATTTGAATTTTTTTAAAACAGATGAAATGGTACTGTGAGGTTTCTGTAAAGTTCTCGAAATTACCGCTATTGACATTCCATCATTATACATACAAACAGCAATATTTTTTTACATCAATGGTCAATTCTGAACCTTTTCTACCCATTTCAAAATAAGCGCAGAAGTAAACATTCAGTGACGTTTTTCTAGCATAATTTTACGTCAGCATGTTTTTCCAATAATTTATCTACAAATAGACTACACAATAAACAACCAAGGTCATTTAAAATCGTTATGGTGCAAGGGAAAGTAATCTCTCGGTAATATCGTTATGACGTTATCTCCCATATTAACGAATACTTTTTTCATCTTTCTGTACGAAGGAAAAGGGGACAATGCGAATATACAACTTTCCAGGTAAGGTTTATTCCATCACTGTTAACAAGAAACTTGCACATATTTTCAATGAACTGTGATTTATATGAATCGAGCGTTTCGTTATTCAATTATCAAGTGAATCATAAAGGAGGTGAGGTGGTCAATGTTACAAAACTGACTAAATAAGTGTATTGGCGTAAAAGTCAATATATTGAAAGTTTCGATCAAGGAGAAATAATCTCAGTTTCAGAGAAATTGTTTATAATAGACAAGTGAATTGCTTGACATTGAATTTCTTAATTAATTAATGAGAGATTTACCTAGCCCGAGAATAGAATTTGCGATTAAAATTATTTAACATCTACAAGGGGTGTTCAATGAATAACGGAAAAAAACCTTATCATCTCCGACGTATGTTGTTTATGTCTCGTATTTAAGATCTTGCAACTCTTTTTTTTTAGTTTTAATATCATAAACATGATGCTCAAATGAAAATTTATCAATATTGTAAGTTCGTTCCAAAAAGCATCATTTGTTGTAAAGATATTACCAAATTGACATTTCATGTAAATAAAGGGATGTAATAATTTTTTTTCGATAAAGTCTAAGCCAAATTTTTCAATAAGAAATTAATGCATAAACTTTAATGAATACTTATAATGCGCATATTATAAACATTTGCAGTACATATTTAACATATTATTGGATGTCTGGAAATTGTTTAAGAAGATAAATTATATAATATATATAGTTTCACTTAAGTGATGTTGTATCCTGAATTACAACAAACAGGAACTTCAACTCTTTAGATATCATGGAGACGTTTAGAAGAAATAACGTACAGTTTATACAATCTTACTAATGCTTTGTTTTAATTAAGATCTTCCCAAAGATATACAAACTGCTACATCGAAATTTTTATAAATGCAAAGCATATGGCGTCCCACGTCGGTTTATAAGCTTTATTTCATTGAAACAAACTGATCGAAATAAAACGATTATATGTCTTCATAATACCGTGCTTTCAGTGCTATGATAATCGAGCATTTAATTATACAAAAATGATGGATAATCTAACATTATATTCATCTTATTGAATTAATTATAAACTGTATTTGTCAATTCTTTTCTCTTTTTAGAATGATTTGGCTTTATATTCGTTTTAGCATTTCACAACGTACAAAGACTATTTTGTAAGCTTTTTTTAATGAGATGCTTTTAAAACAATATGGTTCGGATAATTTGGATTTCTGAGACTGGAAAGCATATTCGACGAAATTATTGTCTAGTACTATTTGTGTTTAGATATCGGAAGTTGAGCTTTATGTTGATTTACTTTTGAGGTGCTTTGTGTATTTACAGAAAATAAAGATTGTCTGGCCCTTCTCGAAAAGGGCTGTAAGGAAGATGGTCCATATACAGTACATCCCGTCAGCGGGTTTAGCATTCAAACATGGTGTGATATGACAAACGGGGGATGGACAGTAATACAACGTCGAATGGATGGCTCAGAAAACTTCTACAGGACATGGACAGACTATGTTCATGGATTTGGTAACATAACAGGCGAGTACTGGCTCGGACTTGAGGCAATATTTTGGCTGACTGTTGTTGAAAGTTCTTTAAAGATTGAAATGGAAGCATTTGGGGACGTTTCACCTTTACATGCTTATGCAATTTATAACGAGTTTAGGATTGATAACGAAACTTTGAATTTTAGATTGCATATAGATGACTTCACAGGTGATTGTGGCGATAGTCTTTCTCGTCATAATGGAAACATGTTCTCGACAAAAGATAGGGATAACGACGGTGCGGGTTTTAATTGTGCTAACAGATTTAATGGTGCATGGTGGTACAAATCGTGTCATTTGAGCAATTTAAACGGACTTTACCTACCTGGTAATCACTCAACGTACGCAAATGGTATCAACTGGTATACATGTTGGGGTTATTATTATTCCATTCGTAATGTTGTGATGAAGTTGAAAAGACACAAGAAAAATGCTATAGAAAATTGAATGGATTATGTGGGTCGGACTCGTAGATGTTTACTTTTATTCCGTGATATTTTTATGCTGTAATGGGTCGTGTAAGCTGTTTAACCATTATAACCGTGGTTAAGCGGTTAGAGCGTTTAGGTTATATAATAATGTCCCAAGTTTAAATCTGCAACTGCCCATATTTTAGTGTTTTTTTACTTTTCGAATATTTAGTATAGTTTGTTACGTGTATGTTCTTTATTATGTCTTTAATAAATCTATTAACCCTTTCCCCCATGAGCATATTGTGAAAAATGGCCATTTTCACTGAAAAGCCTCCTCTTACAAGTTCAAACTGCTATGAAACTATGAAAAATGCTTCAATACTAATCAAACTTGGCACAAATGTTGACTGGACCATTGCCTTTGTAATGACATGCTCAGTCTTAAATTTCCTGTTACCATGGCAACGAGGGGACATCTCAAAATTGCCAAAAATCACTTTTTTGCCTCGATTTTTTCCATCAAAATTTATTTCAAAGTGCTGCAACTTCTCAAGGAATTGAGATAGAGTCAAAGGCTTTTCAGCGTTGGTTACACGTTACCTTATGATCGACCTGGGGTCATTTTAAGCCTCTCACAAGTCCAAACTTTTCTTGGCGATGAGGGGGACTCCGCCCCCCTTCAAACCCCCCAAACAGAAGGGGGCACATCCCCCTTCTGGCAACCCCCTGATATTTTATTTGGATGGGGGACGGCGCCGAAAAAATGGTCACTTTTTTAACAACATTTCTCAAACGCAAACCAGTGTTTGGTGTCTAAATAGGACATTTTTTCACTGCTTGAGGCCTCAAAAAGGGGGGGGGCAAAAAGCCGTCGAAACACGCTTATATAAGGGAAAAGGTTAACATGACAGTGTTTCATTATAACCGTCCATTGTTTTGCACAGCTTAAGCCATAAACGTAAGGAATTTAAGCAAAATTGATTATATTTAAATTTTAATAGTCGTTAAAAATGTATGAATTATAGTATTTTTATTAGTATTTTTTATTATTATCATTATTTTTTTTTTGGGAACTCATTTCATTAAGTTCATTTCTTTTACAATTTTGACTATTGCTATTTTATCCGTCATTTAGCACCTAAGTCATCGACTGTGTTGACTTTTACTCTGTTAAAACTGTGTAAATCTAAAGAAATTCATCCAGCTAGTTGAATTAATAGAAACAGAAATAAAAAAATGACGTGTCTAGGATTCAAACCAGTGTCTCTTCACCTACGAAGCGAACACTTTACCTCTTCACTTGTACGACACGATTCAATTTGTAATAGATTCAGGCGATATAAAGTATGCTACACCCCAATATGATAGTATTGATGACAGGAATAGCGATGTCGATGTATTGTGTAATAAAGACAATTGATTTTACTTTAATGTTAATAAGATGTGAGGAAACTTTTTCATGATGTTGCACGTTTGTAAACTCGCTCTTTCATTGGATAATAGTGATGTTTATATAAACTATATACACGGCTACTGTCAAGTTTATGAATATATTTTTATCAAATAACGATAATTGTGGGATCTATAAAATCGTTATAAAGATTTTTGACAAGTTTTATTGCTCTATGTAAACGATCGTTTGCGATATATAGCCCTCGCATAGGACATCTGTTTATGTACCCGCATATTCGTGATCTTGCATATTTTGTAAAACACTACATTTGACATTGCAGAAGATATGAGTAAACAAACGTGTATTTTATTTAAAAGCCCATTATGCCACAGAAATGCTTTCATTTGTATTTCTGAAAATATTTTTTTTTTTTTTTTTTTTTTTAGTTTCCAACTGTTATTCATTTGCCAATTACCTGACCTGACTTTTTACTTCTGTTTCCTTTTGGCAGTTAGTACATTTATAGTGATTTTGAATTTGTATGATAGTCAAAATACTGTTTTATCTAAACATTTTGCTGCTTTTATGACACATTATTTTACATTTAGCTCTACTTTATTCAGGTAACAAGCATCTAACATGCTCTAAAACTATTATTTAAATGCTGGAAAAATAATGTCTGACCTTTATAAAAAAAATATTTATTCATTTCTGTGGCATTATTTGTTTTTAATAAATTAAATACATTCTTGATCAATAGTAAACATAAGTCGAATCCGGGTAGCGTTTACATCAATCGGTTGTACCATTATGATATAATGGGTGTGCATGTTATTTTGTTATTACATTTTGCTTTTCTATTGCAATACAGAAGAATACACGTTCCGTGTAGCGTAGTGGTTACAGATTTCAGATTATGAAGAGCTCATAATTATTATGAAAATGTTTTATTTATTTTCGAGTTCAAATCTGCTATTTTCTATTCTTTGTGTATATTTTTTACTTTCATGATAAATTGTAAAGTCTTTCATGTAACTTTTCATTTTCTCTTTTACAAACCTATAAAATATCTAGTGTTGTAAAGTTAAACTTATGACGTTTAAGCAAAATTAAATGCTTTTGAGTTTAACAGTCATTGAACAGATTGAATAGTATTAGTTTATTCTATTTGAAACTCTGAATTCCTTTGCTTTATCTTGAACAATTTTGGCTCATTTTTCTATTAATATATTTTAATTTCTTCCATTGCTCATTGATCACCCTAATCACGACTGTGTTGTCCTGAACCCTTTGGAAGCGAATAAGTGTAAAACTAAATGTTCTAGTTAGAAGTGTGATAGAAATTCACGAGAAATCCAGTTCGTTGAAAAATATCTAAAAACGAAAAAAAATTGGATTTTTCCAAGCTAATACCCCCGATAGCTTCACGGTGCACTACCGGGTCAGACTGTGTCGCTTATTTTTGAAGCTGTAACTGTTAAACAGTGTATCCCCGGATTAGCTGGGGAAACCCACAAAATATTATGAATAGACTTACTCCGGAATTAAGAATATTTTTTTCCCAGTATAAACAAACTTTTACATTTAAAGCTTCGATAATAAGCGTAACAGATTCGCTAATCTTACTCATCATGTAAACATTGGATACGCAAATATCAATACTTGAGGCTGATATGAAAGTTGTGAATTCAAGTGAAGATGACATAAAATGACATATTGACTAGCAGAGCGTTTGATTATCTGATCAGAATGCGCTCTCTGTGTTATCTATAAGCTAATTCCTGGATTTAAGAGGGGGGAGAAAAGAAAAAGAAAACGCCCGTGTAAGAAAATCTTAAAACTATGAACATCTTGTATATAGTTATACATGAAACGTTAGGTATAGCGTCGGTGTATGATGCGTTTAACATTGTCAGAATCCACAGTATTACGCCAAAATATGATAACAAAATAAAAAAAAACCGGCCCGTGGTAGTTATGAGTAATCATTATCCGGACAGATCTTTGTGAAACAACACTTGCATGATCTATGACATTCGTATAAAATAAACAGTTTTCAACGCTGCACGGCAAACAACTGACCGCGTCACAGTCACATTCACATGTAAAAGTAAATAAATGCATTTCATTTTAACGTACATATAATTATGTCTATCACAGAAAATTCAATAATACATGCCCGATATCTAGTATTCTATTTCACAACCTTGATGTCTTGTTTGCTGTCGTTGCGAAAACATTACCAAAATATCCTACAATTTCTATCATTGAAATCTGAAGCATTAATGTCGGTGCATGTTTTATTTCCTGCTGGCTGGAGCGTGCAGGGTATTGGTATGCGATTAATTTCTGAGGCATGGAGGAGCACGTGACCTGTTTTCGGTACATGGAGGAGCACGTGATCTGTAAAGCGTACTTTATTTGGTTAATAAACGTTGTAAATCTTTGTAATCTAAATAATTTAATAAAATCTATATAATTATGGTAGTTTTAAAATGGATATAAGAAAGATTAAAAAAACAAAAGAATTAAATGTAAACATGAAAATTACATTTATAACCAACCGAGCCTGGAAGAGGATACACTATTTATCTAATACCTATTTATCTTTTATTCGACCGAGTTTGGAATACGCCGATGTTGTCTATCTAAACTGCACACAATATAAGACATTCGAGTCTGACAAGATTCAAAATGAAGCCTCTCGTATTGTGTGCGGTGGTATAAAACTGGTATCATAAGTGCAACTCCATAGTGAAGGTCCTTGGACAGCCTTAGAATTTCAAGAAATAATCATATGCTTAGCTTAATTTATAAGTTAAAAGGTGTATTTACACCAGATTACTTGCGTTCTTTACTTCCACCTACTGTAGGTGAAAATTCAAGGTACAATCTACGCAATGCTACAAATATTTAACTTTTATCGAACCTATACTCTTTATCATATGCTTTAATGCCCTGCTCTGATATGGGAATCGTCCTCTAGGTGGACAAGATTTACGATCTGTCTCTTTAATTTCAAGTATGAAACGAAGACTCTATTATGTCGATTATTTCTATGAAGGCGATATAAAATGGCAGATCTATCATGCTCGCCTTTGTACTGAATGTAGTTTTCTGAAAATAATTCTTCTTCTTTGTCAATGTGGCATAGTGGAAAGTAATTACCATTTTTTCTTTGAATGTTAACCTTTTGTTGACAGCAGGGCCTGTCTTCTTAACACTTTATTTACAATTTATTCAGCAACTCTCAAAATGTTATTAAATGGAGATCCAAACATTAGCGACGATGCAAACAGAAGACTGTTTGAAGCCGTTCATACTTACATCCAAGAAAGCAGGAGATTCTCTCGAGCATATTGACATCAGCTCAAATCACACTCAAATATGCTTCCTATTCAAATCGTCGAACTATACGAATGATCTACATTTTAGTTATCTCTTCTTTTCTTTCTATTTTGCTGAAAGTTTCTTCCTTATATTTTTTATCTTTAGTTATCTTAAATTAGGTTATTTCTTTTTAATTTTATATAACAAAATTATGCAGTCTTGTATTCTCATTCTTTGTATTTGCTTAATATTATAATTCAATGAAGGAAACAATTTCGACTTTAATTACTAAAAAAGGATGTAAAATCATAATATTTCAAGCATATTACGTATGCTGTCATACAGTACTTTATGCACTATTAATCTGTAAGGAGAAGGCCTTTATAAGCCCAGCTTTCGGACCAAATCCTCATTAACGTACAATTATCTATTATCTGTATATAATATATATATACTATATTGTGAATTTGGTCGAATAAACTATGCTTGATTAAGACTAAAACTTTTTGTATGATCATTAGGCGTATTGCAGGTTCTTGGATGTCAGACC